CCTTAATCCCAAGTCGCCTGCCAACTGCAGTTCCTAAATGCTTGATGTATGGGGGTTATATTTGGGTTATATTGGGGTTATATTGGGATAATGGAAAATAAAATGGAAACTACTATAATGGGATATATTAGGGGGATATAGGGATTATATAGGGGTATAATATTGGGGTTAATATTGGGATTAGGGGGATATATCAGACACCAACCTGCTGCAAGTTGCAGCTGGATCCCATTGAGCCAGAGGTGGCGGCGGACCAGATATTGCCAAAACTGGGCACTTGAGCCATAGTCTAAACTCCTAGCATCCCCCTTAATAACCCCTGTAGTAGCTCCCTATATTATCCCCTATATAAACCCCCCATTAAGGAGTTTAGACTATAGCTCACTTCAAGTTTGGGATTCCGGCTGCTCATGGGAGTCAGGTCGTGCTGCTGCTTTCTCGTGCGAGTGACACCTCCCCAACTCTCAGAAAGTGGAAACTTGGAAACACTGCTTGGAGGTGAAACGCTTGACAGGTAACTCTCACGTTCAGAGAGCCCAGCTCCAAGGCTCCTCGAGCAACATCACTGTTCCACCGACAGAATAAGTCTTGATGGTGCAACCAGATTGATTTTGAACAGCATCTACATGAAAGAAGTCTTGGACGTGGAGGCAACGGCATGCCTTTGGCAGTGCCAGCAAAAGCAAGGAGCGCTCTCTTGCTTTCCTACAATTTCATGCGACTCTACATCGCAACATGCTACTGAGCATTAGCAGAGACTGATTTACATCAGCTAAATCAAGACTGATAAAGGGCATTTTCTAGGCGGAGGGCGGAACTCACTGAGAGTCCTAGCATTCACTATGAATCTGAAGTCATTGGCGGAAGATTTTTCTTGGTGACGGTGTAGATCATATGTCGCGTCCTAGCATCAGAAAAAGATCGCGGGACGCACGCGCTGCGCAGCGTGTCACAACCCCACTCTGAGATACTCACGCTGATGGACACAGGTTCACGAAGGTGCAACGGATGGCTTTGGCAGCCTGCTCAGCTTTTGATCACTTTTTGGCAACATAGCAAGAAAACTCGAAGAATCTCATGGGGATAATGGAAAAGAAAATGGAAGCTACTGTGGTATATTGGGGTTTTATCGGGGTTATATAGGGATAATGGAAAAGACAATGGAAACTACTATGGTATATTGGGGTTATATCCCCTAAACCCTAAATGCCCTTTGCAAGTGCCTGCTCCGCCAGATGTTTCCTCATGCTCTCGTAGTTCCCCTGTCGCTGCATCAGCTCTTTACCTCAGGAAGATAATACTCCCCTATAATCCCCTATATAACCCCAATATACAGTAGTTTCCATTTTATTTTCCATTATCCCTAATATGACCCCAATATAAACCCTATGTAATCCCCTACATAACCCCACTTAAGGAGTTTAGACTATTTGGCCCTCAGGAGCTGTGCAAAGCTCCCTAAGGCCGCTTCCAACGTGGGTCTTCTTGAGATCGAGAGCCATGCCTGCGAGCACCAGCCGAGTTCCGCAGCCAAGCAAGTCGTTCAGGTTCTATAACCCCCAATATACTATAATAGTAGTTTCCATTTTCTTTTCCATAATCCCTATATAACCCCGATATAACCCCAATATACTACAGTAGCTTCCATTTTCTTTCCAATATCCCTAAGATTTCGCATCACTCCTCCCTCATGCGACCTCAGTGCCTCCTACAACCCCCGCGTCTTCATTGAGCACGCCAAGGCACTCCGCATCTTGCTGGGAAGCTTGCCCATGAAAACCTGGCATAAGGCTGCAAGGTCTCTGAACCAGCCAAGCTGAAATCGCATGCTGGAAATGCTCTTACGTTGCTAGTGTGCTTGAGATGCCCTAGCTGGTGTCCATGCAGCAAACCACACCTCCACACCATCATCGTTAATATCTTCGTTGCCGGCCAAGTTCAGGGACAGGTCCTGCCGACAGCCAAAGCTCCTTGCCTGTATGTACACTGTACGACTTGCCACAGTTGCCCACCTGGACACGCACTTTCCCTCACATGCCCAAAGAGCACGTACAAATGATAGTGATGTTGCGAGCAGAACTACAAAATCGCAAGGAAAAAGACGAGCAGCGCCCTGCAAGCCTCCAAATCTCTGGGAAGCCCAGCTGCCAGGGCTATGATGTCTTCGTTGGTAAGCTCTGTCTCCCTGCGAGGTCTCTACATCCATTAAGAAGCAGCAGTGTCTGTTGACGTCTGCTCTAGCAACATATCATGCTTGCTAGGCGTTTTGCTTCGGAAGGAAGAGTGGCGGCTTGTTCAGATGAGTTAATGAAAGTTGGATGGTGCGTTATTTGAATGTTGCATCCTTCTTCTCAGTCCTGCCAGCTCCTACCGGAAATCCCTAAACTCCTGATAAACAAGCTCGCAACGTAATCAGTGTCTTTTGATGTTGGCTGACGGCCAAGCCTACTGGGGAGTTTGCGCTGCATGCTATTGCTATCGTCGCAACTGGATTGCCTCATATAGCTTTGCCTTGCAGTCTTCAGGTTGTTATGGGTTGATCGCCTTGCTTCTTCCATGCCATTGGCAGATGTCCAGCGTGGTTACACAAGTCTTCTCTAGGCAGAACACAAAGTCGTCACTTTGGGCATGTGGCCTCCTACAAGCTGCTTCCACAAACCGGGTTCAGATATTTCTCCCTGTAATCATTGAGGGGAAGCCCTACAACCTCCTTGTCTTCAACATGTCCCGAGGGTCACTAAACGGTACCCTGTTGTGAGAACTGGGAAAACGGTACCCTGTTGTGAGAAGCCTCCACGTGAAGTGCTCAATCTACCTTGACATCGACAAGGGCAGAGGTGAACGGTTTGCTCTTGCTTTGTCTGTTTGGATTCTGTCGCTGAAGCACTGAGGGCTCAAAACACGTCACAGTCAAGTGCACGTGCCATCCCCTTTCCTTCCATCCCTCCTTGTGTCTTGGTTCCTTCTGGCAGTGGCATTGACGCTAAGAATACTGCACCCCTACGAGTAGGGCAATGAGGATATGGTGAGTAAGTAAGTAACAATGGCGAAGCTGAAGCTCAAAGTTTACCATGTTGTAATGATACCCTATATATGACCTGATAACACGCATTCTAAACCTATGAGAATTCTCCTTCAAACCCCTACACAACACTCCGAACCCTGAACCTTCAAGACACAAGACAGGATCCAAACACCCTATACCAGCCTCAGGTCCAGCTTGAGCTCTTGCAGAGCAGGTGGCAGACAGGCACGGAGCATCTTCAGCTTCTCCGAGCAAACTGCACAAGGAAGGAGACTTCTGAAGCTCTATCAGTCTAGAGGGACTCTTGCAAGAATCTGACGTGCTTATTCAAGACTTTAGACTTAGCGAAAGACTTCCAAACTCTTCGGCACCTTACATATCCCCCACAAAAATCCAGCCTTGATTGCCAGTGCGGACCCAGAGTTCAGGAACCCGTTGAGCACTAATGTAGACCCGTGATGAATAAAATCCCTCCCCTTGGGACTTTAAGGGATTCTAATATCAAGGCCCTTAAAAGGAAGGTCTGCATCAGCATCTTGGGTCGCTCAACCAGACTGCCGAAGCCAATATGCTGTCAGCTATGTCTCAATGAAAAGGATTCCCGAGGCATGGAGAGCCAACTACTGACCCGAGGCCATGGGCCGAAACCTGATCCAATTAGAGGAGCTAACCTATAGGGAGTGCGGGTATGCTTCCAAGCCACAATCCACCCAACTAAGACTAGATCCTGAATTGAAGCGCTATAACCCAAACCCCTGATTAATAAACACCCTCCCATTTGATAGGGATTATAATAGGGATCCTAATATTAAGGCCCTTAAAAGGAGGGGGTTTATTAATCAGGGGTCTACATTACAGTGTGGAATTCTGAAGTCTAGAAAGATGGCGGCCTTGCATGAAGGCCATGTCAAGTTCAAGGGACTTTTGTCGCAGGCCAGTGTGCAAGGCTTCAACCTCTCATGGCGCTTCTGACATGAGCCATAGTCTGAACGCCTTGAATATCCCCTATAGCATTTCCCGAAAAATCTCGTATATTACTCTCTTTAAGGGGTTGAGATTGTGGTTCTCATTGCACTTCTGACATAGCAGCATCAGAAGTAATTTCAATGACCAAAAGAATCCTCAGGACCAAACCAACTTCCCTTGAACTCGATGGACATCACTATCGCTCACATTGCCACCCATGACCCGACCTGAGTTTTGCTTCCTCTGTACACACTACACTACCACCACTCTCACCAAAGCAGCGGCAACATCAGAATGCGCTCAGCTGAAGACGCCAGAAGGCCAGGGCGAACAGTGCTCGCAATCGAGCAGAAACTTGTCCATAGGCCTCGTGCCTTGGCAACACGCCAGAAAAGATGATGAGCTAAGAGCATCTGCCCACGAATGAGACGCGAGCTTCTCCGGGGCCTGCGAGAATTTCCGAAACACTTCCGACCAGAGCCAGACTGCGCTTGAATCTACATGTAGCTGTAGGTGGGGGTATGAACAGGATAATTATGGAGAATTTAGAATGATCTGATTTAGAGGACTTATCCCTTATCACCCGCTTACAGCCACCCATGAATCGTTGAGTATGGTGGGCGGAGGCCTCTTCGCTTAGGTCGCGCCCTGCGAAGATGTTCAGAATCTGCTGCTTGTCCTGCGAGTTGGTGATCTGCGCGCGCTCCACGGAGACCTTGGGCTATGTTGGTGCTCCCAAGAATTCGGGGTCACCTTTTCAGAGGCTCTTTTTTTTCAAGATGATATTACAAGCAGGTCTAGACTGGGGCCCCCAAGCTATGGAAACTGACATGTAGCGACGGCTGGAGCTTTTGTTGCACGGTTCTGTTGCATCGCATATGCATACCTGGGTCGACGACACCCAATGCCATCTCCATGATCTGCAAGCTGAAAGACTTCTCCCTGTCGTTTTTGGCCTGACATTTGCAAACTAGCTTCATCTAGCTTCAAATCTTCTTTAATTGTCATTATGACTAGAGCCGTCTCATAACTACTTACGACTATTGCTATCATTGTCATCATGATTACCATTGTTACCATGACTACTATCTACATGTTATCAGGACAAGCAAAGCATTGCTGCTAACCTGCACGCCCTAAACCCCGCATAGTAATTTCCATTGTCTTTTCCATTATTCATATATAACCCCTTTATAACCCCCATAAACCGCCCTATGTAGGCCCTACCCTAATCCCTAAACCCTAGACCCTAAAGCCCAAATAAACCCTAATGAGTACTGTTTTTTGGTGGTTGAACCTAGTAAGATTATATTCCGTATATAAAATACTATACCCCAAAAGTGGATAGAATCTTACTCTATATTGGGTACCATAGTATCCGCAAATAAAATACTACACAAATAACCCCTATAGAATCCCAGTTTCCATTTCGTTTTCCATTTTCTTTTCCATTTGACTCTCCATTATAGGGCCCTAAACCCAAGGTTGGGTACCATAGTATCCCCAATGAATGTCGGGCAAAGCCTTGTAGCCGGAGTTGGTCGTACGCAATTCTGCGTCCTTCTCCTGGTTTGCCGTTGAGGCACTTGAATTAAGTTACCATAATGGGTATACGTAGTACTTAATGGGGTATATAGGGTATATATGCTTTAGGTTCAGGATTCAGGGTACCATGATATGGGTATATGCAGGGATTGATAGGGTTTCCCCAATACAGTAATCTAAATTAAGTTCCTTAACAGCAACCCAGTCTCCTCCGGTGTCAGGAACTGTGTCACCTTAGGATATTCATGCTCCATGATTCTTTGACGACGGCAAATGTCACTTGAACTGTAAATTGCAAATCTGGAGATTCTAAACATGCATTGTAACTCTTGTCTCCTCATGCACTTTTATTCAGTGTGGTCCTTCTTAGAGAATGCCAGGTGCCTGCTCCAAACTTGTCTCCCAACCCCCATACATATTCATATACACACCCCTATAATGGTACCTGTATTCACTCTCCCAATCCCCCTTAAGCACCAGTAGATAAATCCGAGGGCCTGGCCATTGAGGCCTTTTTGACAGGAGATCTGATCTCCAGCTTTGTTTGGACCAGGTCCAGCTGGGTAGGCTGGTCCAAGCCTGTACAAGGTTACTAGGGTCATGTAGGGATAATGGAGAAGGAAATCGAAACTGCTGTTTAGTGTTTAGCGTTTAGGACTTAGGAAACAAAGATGGGCACCCCAGAGACAATAAATGGAGAGGGTAGGATGGCACAGAGGTCTCTACCGAGGAAAATAGTCGGGTTCATTCGAAAACCTTCCCTTTCATGTACAGCTGTGCTTGCCCTCGACTCGGACAGGTCTGAGTGCATGACACATGCATAACTCGTACAAACACCTTGGTCAAGCAGCTTCAGTTCCCCCCCGGATTCACTCGGCGACGCCAGTAAGAGCAAAGCGTCAATGAAATCAAATTCCATCCACGTTCACGTTCAAGCTTAGGCAAAGACCAGAGACGTGACAAACACGTGGCAAGCAGGTTGGAATCTGTCTTTGGATCCTGCGCATCAGACTGAACGGAGCTTCCGCTGCTTGCCGCCACAGGTGCTTGATGAGGAAATTCTGCTGCTCTCAAAGCTTACGGCGATGTCGGGCTCTCAGGCCACGGCCACTGCAAGCACCACCTGGAATTTCGCAGCGCACATTGCCTCGCTCCGTGATCGATGGTCTCCGGGACTTTGACAGCTACGGAACATGCACATCACATAGAAAGAATGCGGGGCCTTGTAGAAGCAGGTTGCCTTCAAATCCGAACAGAAGGCATCCTTCAACGAAATGCGAAGCTCAGCAAAGCGAATGCTAAGGCAACACCCAAGCTGCTTCGTAGGGAATGGAGGAATGGATCCCTATGGCAGCCCCTATAATTAACCCATTCCAGCACTCCCTACGAATCACCAATGAGAAAAAACTTCCCTCCTGCAGCGAGTGCGGACGATTGGCACAGCACGCAAGCCAGTATGGCGTGCTTTGGTCCAGGTTTCTGCTTTGCATGTGTACCTTGATGGCCTCTAGACAGTTCAGCACCTCAGCCAATGGCAAATCATGTCCGCCCTGCCTTTGCCGTGCAAGTATCCCTCTTAGCGTCTCGCGAGATCCCCCCAGTAGTGCACCAGGTAGAACGCAGGAGGCTGCAAGGCAGGTTGCAAGCTCAAGAAGCGGGCTGTGCAGATGGGACATGCCGGACCGAACACGTGCTATGCATGTCAAAAATGATGCGTTGCATGATCCGCAACATGCATGATCACATTCATGCTCAAAAACCTGTTCTCCTAACATGCCACATCAAGAAAAACATATGACAGCATGTGATATTCAGCAACAACTGGTAGCGCCTGCTCCTGGTTGGTCAAAAGCTCCACTAGCGAGCAGTCCTTCTCAGCGCAAGCCGGACCTGAAAAGCTGTTAGATACATTCATAGGGCCTCTCGAATCTAGGATAATTTCGGTGATTCTCAGGGATTGCCGTGACGTACTTCGGTACATGGAGTCGGATCCAGCCGTTACTTTTGCTTGGCGCACCTTGCCCGCACACTGAGCCGGCTGCGGACAAGCCACTCGTGCAGGTGACACCTGAATCAGGACAAAAATCTCCTGCACATACCCGTCTACGTTGACATGCATATGTTAAAGAATGTTGAAACTTGCGAGGCAGCTCAGGCCGCAACCAGTTCATGTGGTCAATGTGAACTTTGCGGCCTCGTGACGGTGAGCCAGAAGAAGCAGGTGCACGGCAGATTGCACCATGCAGGATCATCGATCACGGCCGTTCAACGTTCAACGGAAGTGGCGCAAACCATTCCCACTGCTTCAAGAAAGACGGTGATCTACTGCAACTTCTAAGCACGGGTCCTGCATTGCGTGACATATGTGATGGCTGTGTGTCTCTCCATCGATGGCAGTGGTCCTGTACCAGCACTAATTCTAAGTATGCGGCCTCAGGCATCCAACAGCAAGGGAAAGTGCAAAACCCGACTTTTGCTGTTCGTGATGTGACCTCTGTACAGGCGGTACTGAAACTGCACAATCATTCCGTCAATCCATGGTCACAGCTTGTCACGATGGCAGCCTAGGCAATTGTGTCTTGGCCCTGGTTGCTCATGCACCAGGTGACCGCTGCGAATTGAAACTAAATTTTGCTACGCTGCACCAGTCTGGTTAGTAATGCCCAGACCCCACTGGGCTTTCCATCCCTCAACACTCAGGCTTGCGTGCTCTCGGGTACTCTCTCGGGCATTGTCATAGTAACGCGTATCAGTACCACCGGAACGGTTGTGAGCCAAAGTAAGTTCGGCGATCCACTGACGCAGGGAATCGTCAGGATTGGGATCAGCAATCATCGAGCGGATCGAGGCAAGGCATTTGACGATGGTAAGCGCCGGACTCCAAGCATCCTTGAGGATGTCCAGGCCTGGGAACATAGATCTTTCAGGACCCCAAGAGATATCACCTAGCAGTCTATGAGGAAAATGGAAACTACTATAGTATATTGGGTTGTGTATTTGGATAGCAAACGTCACTTAGGCCTGATGAAAAACAGTACCGTCCTAAGGCAAGATGCAGATGCCACCGTTTGAGTTCACGTTGCAGTGGTAGATGGGCGTGCGGAAGTGAATCTTCGGCGGCTTGAGGGGATATTGATCGGGGATGACGACATCTAGCGCGAAGACTCCATCCTCAAACGGGGTGCCTGGAGGCCCTTCAATCAGGGCACGCCAGAAGCTCAGGCTCTCCTTGCATGTGGAATGAAAAACGCAACATGTTCACGGCGTGTCTCAGGCATCGCCCTACATGGCCGTCGTACCACCAATACCTCTCACACTGACTAGGAAAAAGTACGTTGGACAAGGTATGGACTAAGGCTTCCCAAGGGGCGGTCGGGAACACATGGATCCCGGCTGGGGATTCTTTTGCAGCCTGGTTCAGTTCTGCCATGACCCGCTTGCAGGTTGGAGCGGACAGGGAACCTTGCCCAAGTGAGTTGGCAGAATCCAATGTTACGACCTTGCTGCTTGCATGGCGTTCCCGCACCACATCCTGAACCGCGGGTACGGCATTTCCCTGTGTCAGGGTCTTCTGAGCGATGCTCCTGAAATCCACAGGGTCCCGCTGCTTGAAGGCCGGTTTTTCCGCCCCTCCACGACGCGCCTGGAGGGAAACGACTGCTTCTGACTCCAGTAACTCGAAGCCCTCGCCCAAGCTGCTGACCTGGTAGCACTCGCCCTCTGCGGCAGAGACGATGCGTCGTAGATCGCCGTCAGGGTTGTCGCCAACAATGATCGCATCCACGACGGCCCCGATGGAGTTCACTGCTTCCAGGGCAGCCTGCATGAAGGCTCTGGCATTGGCAACATGATTCTGTGTGCTTGCATCACACGGAGTTGATTGATGTGGACAGCTCTCTGTCATGTTCCGTTTGATGTGAAAATAGCTCTATTCGACGGTACGCCTACACAATGCTGAGCTATGCAATCAGCCGGCCTGCGGGGTTGCTCCCGAGTTGTTTTGTCCATCTGTGAGTACGAGGACACGGAGATCAATCTTCGTGTCTGCCTCGAAGTACCGCTGCAACATCTGAGTGGCTGCAATGATGGAGGAGTAAATAGCAGTCTGCCCACGCTTCTTCATGTCGTCAACAATGGACTCAAACTTGTCCAAGCTGGGGGTCGCATCCAGCAGGAGCTCGACCTGGTTATCAAATTGCAGCAGGCCAAGGTGACAACGTCCAGGACCCATGCTGTCGATCCTGTCTCTGAATGCATAGAACATGGCCTTCACAGCCTCCATGCGCGTCCGCTCTGCAACCGAATCGCGGCACTCTCCTTTCACCACATTCAAGGTCACCTCCTTGAAAGGTGTTCCCATGGAGCCAGACCGGTCAATGCAAATTGCAATGACTTCCTGGACTTCCTGTGGCTGAGTAGGCTGCAACTCGTTTTGCTCCGTGGCTTCCGGGCCAACGGCCTGAGAGCTCCCGGCTCTTGTCCCCCTACGGCTTCTCCAAAACTAATGCCGTTATCCATTCCTAATTCCCGAATAATTGTCGCAGGATCCTTTACTTACCCAAACTTCAAGTGAATTTTGTCCCCATTCAGGGCCGCCTGGGGCTCTGAAGGAAGGCCACGCAACTCCTGCAGAGCTTGGCGAAACTTCTGCGCAGTCACCAGCTTCATCCCTGCTGACGCGATGACCTGCTCCACCATGGTCGCCTGAGAACTACCCTGCTTAGACATACAATGCATCCTCCTTGCAACTGGTACTCCTTCATAACCGTCACTACTCTTCTGGCAAGATTCCTGGTCAATCATTTTTCGTTGCGATTAAGAAGTGCTCATATTTAGCTCAAGGCATGTTTAATTCTGTTAGAACGCTTCCAGATTGCCGAGAGGCATCCAGCAACTTGAAGTCATCCAAGCGTTCTGCCTCCGTGAGCTCCACGACCTTCTCTGCATACTTCTCGAGGCCTCTGGAAATCAGCCATCCCATCACCGACTGGTCTTCTTGGGCATCGGCGTCCGTTCCCACGACCTCCCACTCCGCCATGAGCTGAACTGAATTGATGCAAAACGATGCTGCGCAGCAAAGTTTAAGTTTCCTAACCCTGAGCCCGCGATGCAAACAAGGGCTTCCGTTACACACGGCTGACACATCTGCGCAGTGCTGGGCCAAGTCAAGGAAATGCAGAAAAGTCGAAGGCCTTGCTGAAATCAACGACCCTCTGCAACTGCTGTAGAGTCACCGCACGATCCTGCCAGCTAAATGGAGCCAATGCAAAAGGAGTCATAGCAGACTCTTGCTGTCTCCTCTGCTCGGTCTATGTAGCCCTGGAATACAAACTCCTCCGCCAATGCATGGTCTGAGACAAACATGCTGTTTGACAGGGTTGCTGTTAAGTAACTTAAACTAAGATACTAGAATATGGGTGGATAGTAGATAGAAAGGCTTTCTTTTCAGGGCAACTTAATTCAAGTTCCTTAACAGCAACCTAGTTTAGGTTCTCGAAAGCCCTCCTGTTTGAGCTGCTCCAGGTGCTTCTCATCTGAGGTGCTCGTGAAAGGAAGCTTAGCCAAGCGCTCGGCCTTTCGCGTGTGTAGAGACATTTGGTAGTTACCCAAGATAGCTGGGACCCTAAAATAGTCCGGACCGGACGTCTGCGCTTTATGAACTACGGAAACAGACAGACACATCTCGATTGCCTCGCTTGTAGCAAATTTTCAAAGGTTGATTAGGTGGTCGCCTGTACTCGTCAACGCGTACAAGACCACGGCAAAAGAGTTTGCACAATTGTGTTGGGCGTTGGTCTTTTTGGTCCTTGCATGCTTTGGTACCTGAGGACTTTCAATGACAGTCTTGTCTCCTGGAAATTTGGAATTCGAGATGTTTTCTCCAGTTAGGGAATGTCTTTTTGCGCACAGAAGGCCTGCAAACAAAACACTGCGCCTACTGAATGTACGGCTCCGTCATACACTGTCACTTGGCCAGCGCTCTGCCTCGCGTCGCTCCTCCTCCTCCTCTTTGATCTTTTCCTCCATCCGGATCGCCCTGAATAGAAATGGATGCATGGAGCAAGCCGCATTATGAGTTGATCTCGCGTCGCGACTTGACTCAGACACATTTCCCAACACAAACAGATGCCTGTAGTCGGTGAAGAAGACGACTGTCACCGTCCTTTGTTTGACTAAACTGCTGCGTTACACTACCAGCTACAGTATCATGCCTCCACTGCCACATCGCATCCTGCAGCTTCTGCCACACCTGGACCACTCACCCTCCTTATGCTCAGTATCATTACTATTATTACTATCATTACCCTTTATTACTATTACTCCTATTACTACTATTATTACTATTATTACTATTATTCCTATCATTACTATTACTACTATTAATACTACTACTACTACTACTATTACTACTACTATTTCTGCTACCGTTATCATTACAGTTATTAGCCTTACCTCGGCTCCGGTCTTCATGAGCAGCCCATCGATCATGTAGATCCGCCAGCCGATCTGGACCTGGGAGGCCATGAGCCCCTGAAGCTTTCGGAGTTCGGCCACGAAGAATTATTAAAAAAATGAGGATAATAGCCATGATCGAAATAACAATAGTAATATAGTAATGAAAAATAATAGCAATAATAATAGGGATATTCGTAATAATAGTAATCAGAGTAATAAGAGCAATAAAAGTCATATAATAGTAGTGATAGTACGAATAAACATAAAAGAAATACTAGTACTAATAATAGTAGTAATAGTAATAAGCATACATGGGCTCAGACCCCGAGGTCCTTGGCTTGGCCTTTGACGCCTGTGACAATCAAGTTCTGCCACTGGAGGCCATGGCCTTGGCTCAAAAGCCCATCAAAAAAGAGTCCACATGAGCAAGAGTCTAGACTCCTAGCATCCCCC